TATTGAATCATTCACTTTTATGGTTTATATGCATTTACATTCAAGAAAGAGTAATGAGATCCTCTTCCAACAGTGGAAAAACTATTAGATTTTCATTGCTACTGAACCAAGAGCATAGAAACATGGTATCCTAGGACAGTTTCAGTTTAAACAATTTACACAACAGAAAGTAACAAGTAATTTGATCTTTATGACTTCCAATTTCCCAGGTATGTTGACTTCCTTACAAAATAGACTATTTATTAGGTGGGTAACTCTATATGAAATTTGCTTTTGATTTTGTGTATATGTTTTAAATAGCTAATAGCTAAAGCATATGCTTATCTTTTCTTATCTAGAAAAAAAATAATTCCTTTTCCATTTCATTTTGACATATTTTGATATATTTTATTTTCATAGAATTTAAAAGAATTTATTTGCAAATTTCAAAAATAAAAATGTAAGACACAGTACTGCATTCAAATGGCTTTATTAGGCCATCCTATCATCTTTCCAACTCAAAATTAAGTCAGCAAAAGAAGATGAATGATTATGCTAGCACATCCCTATAATTCTTGATAATCTTATTTATATGAGATAGTTTATTTTTAATAGATACATTGTCATTAATTCAATGGGAATATTTTCATAAGCAAATCATAAACATAACTTTTCAGGACAGAAGAAAGGATACAAAAAAAGAATAGGAAGTAAGAATAAAAGGTGAAGAGAAGCAAAGTGAGAAAAAGAAGCTATAAGACCATAATCGTATAATTCTAGTTCCTTCTATGTAAGTTATAGAAGGAATAACGTTCATAAAGGAACTGTTTTTCTATGCTATATTTAAAAAATGGATTGTCTCAGTTTTTTAAACACTTATTTCATATATTAAAGTTATGTTCATCATTATGTAAATATGTGCCTTAGACTAAAAAAGCAGACTCAAAAGTATAAGAGAAAAATGCATTGTGCAGTGCTTCAGTTAAAATCGTCAAATTGATAATGAATTACATCTTCCACTGGAAAGGGTTTTTCTCAAATGCTTGTTACTCTGGAGTAGAGGTGTAGCCTACATTCTATTTTATCAAATAAATGAGGCTGAGAGATTTGCTGATCTACTAAGCAGGGATCTGTTTTGATCCCGTTTTTGTGAGAACCACAAACTGCAGGAGTTTGAAGAATGGCATACAGTAGCCACAGAATAGAAGTCTGAAATGCATGTGATGACGCTGGCCTGCTTTACTTAAGGTAGCCTGGCAGCACCATTCTAGTAAACATTTATGACGGGACTGTTGTAAAGAATGATGTTTTCATTTGCTCATCTTTATATGGTGTAGGTGGTGTTGCCTTGAGGCAGTGTCGCTTGATAAACATTTTTTATTACCTGGAAATGTTTCTTTACTTTTAAAATAAAACGAACAATGTTTAAGATGAGAAATATCGTCCTAATGTGCACTCAAAAACATGAAAAATAGTCATGAAGATAAGTTTGATCTTGGAAAGCTCAGAAGAAATGCTGCTACCTAATGGATCATTATTTTTTTAACATAACTTATCCATGATATTAAGTTTGCAAGTAGAAATGTGAAAAAATCTAGTCAGATGACAATCACATGTTGAAAATCTTCGTTTTCCAGTTGGTGATTAACTTTAGTAATCCAGAAAGTAGATATATAATAAGTGCAGCTATGGTGATAGATCAGGAATATCTACACATAGCAACATTTTCCTATATTAAATATACCTAACATAACATAATGAAACTCATAAAATAGATAATCATTGTAGGGTATGTGTAAAATATCTATAATAATTAGCCCACTTCATGTTAAATTTCAATACATTTGAGTAAGCAGTGCTTATGAAACCTTTATATGAAATTCTACATATTTTTTATTATATATATTTGTATTTTTAAAAATTTACTGTTCAGTTAGAGCGTGGGATCTCTTTAGAAAGAAAATATACAAATCAAGGCTCTGTGGGTGCAGGGGGACAATAATTTAAGACTAAATTGTCTGCATCTTCCATGCAAAATCCCTTCGGTTAACGAATTGACTATGTTGTTCCTGTGGACAATATTAGTGATGTGTGTGTGTGTGTGTGTGTGTGTGTGTACTTGTGTGTGTGTGTGTTTTTTGTGTAGTCTTTCTTGTACCAAAAACATGAAATTACTCAATTTTGTTTCAAAGACAATGTTGGAATCTATTTCTGCATTTCTTCCTGCTGTTGTGGATCACTGCCTACTGGAAAGGTATTCTCATAAACTGATTATAACAGGCAACATCAATAACCTCCTTTTCTACCTTCATCTCATATACATATCAGGTAAATCACCTATATCCCAAATATCAGAATATAAACAAGGTTGCAGAAAGTAGATCAGAAAAGGCAACATGAGCAGCAAAAAAATAAGTCTAAGTCTGTTGTCTAGTATGTGTACTGGCTAGAAAAGCATGCTTCACATCCACTTTTGGGTTCACTTTGAAATAACTACATAATAAGGAGTACATCCCAATGTGACCTCCTAAATGAATAAATAAATATTTACTTACACGTGGGGGATCGCTTCATAAATTATATAATTGTTGAACCACTACACTGTACACCTGAAACTAATGTAAAATAATATCAAATGTCAACTATAATTGAAAAAAAAAGTCACTGGATTAAAGTACAGTATAGGTAACATAGTCAATAATGTTTTAATAACTATGTACATTATCAGATGAGTAATAGACTTATTGGGTGATCACTTTGTGAGGCATGTAAATGTCTAATCCCTATGCTGTTTTGTACACCTGGGAGTAATATACTATTGTATATCAACAGTATTTGAAAACTAAATTTTTTTAAATTAAAAAAATGTTAACTTAGAAGTTTATATTTCTCTTATGCATGTGATACTTGAAAGAGAGTCATGTTGATAATCAAATTCTATAATTGCCCTATGCTGAGACCAACATATAAAGAGGTTTTTGCATTTTGCTTCATTGTTTACGTTTAAAAATTGACTCATTCTCTTTTGTAGTAAGGAGAAAAAAGAGCACTCCTTTGGTCTGAGATGCAGGAACCCTTGTTTTTAATTACCAATTCACCATTTTTAAGACGGTCATACATCCTTATGTTAAACCAACTTTTAGACAATGCAGTTCACTTCCTCAGGCTTTTAATTATTCCATCTGTAAAATGAGGATGATCAAATATCTTAACTTTTTTCATTGAGGATTATACCACATACGCTGCTGGGTTGTTGGAGGTCCTAGACACTATCTTTCAGAATATCCACACTTTTTTGTTTATCTTGTAAGTGTCATTTTTGTGCTACCTAACATGAATTCATCAACTATAAAATATCTTTGGAAAAACATTCACTCATATATTTGTTGGTGAAACTATTCACAGCTGGACTATGTTTGCAAGAATCTCCCTCGCATCATTTAAGTAGCCTAGGCCTAGGGCCAGCAGAGTGGCTCAGTTGGATAAGAGCTCACTCAAGAGTGTGAGCTCTGAGCAACAGTGATTTGATTCTCGGCCCGAGCTGAGCTGCATCTGAGCTGCCAACAGGTAGCAGGATGGCTCAGCTAAAAAATAAATAAATAAATAAATAAATAAATAAATAAATAAATAAATAAATAGCCTAGGCCTAAGAAATAGCATACAATAAGCTGGTTTTCATCATCAAATGTTGTTTATGAGGTCAGAGTAGTAGCTTCTAAGATTTCTTGATATCATTATTAAAAACTAATGATATCAAGAAAATCTTACTAATTTCTACCTTATTTCTGTTTTATAATGGACAAAGTACAATTTAAACAACACACAAATATATTTATAAAGTATAGTTATTGGGGCCATGGTCTCAAAAGCTTTTTTACTGATTGAGGTATATAATTAAAAACAATTGAAAGGCCAATATGCTAAAAGATTATCTGTTTCAATGCTACTTATTTATTTACATTTTAATTAATTTATTTACATTTTAATATATATATATATATATATGTATATATATATATATATATATATATATATTTTCACTTTTAACAAGGTTCCATTTATTTAAAAAACAAAAAAACAAAAAAACTTAAGGTATCCAAAATGAATACACACCCAAAAGTATTTTCTGAGGGAACTACTCAGTTAACCTATGATAATAATAAGCACAAGGTGGTTTTAAAGAACACTTGCTTGTAGATACCTTTTAAATGAACATTTTATATAAAATTTAGTTTATTATACACACAAATAGAGCTTCTCAAAGGGCAGCACCATTTCTTGACTGAGGGAGTGAAAACATATCATATCTTAGGGGCTTTTCAAAATGCAACACTATCCACCCCTGGAAAAACATTCTATTCTAATACACGTCTATTTTTTTTGAAGCATCCTACAGACTATAAATTCTAATAAAGTAAATATCAGTCTTTAATATTCCACATAAACAAAAAGTTCTTTGGGGTACCATTCAGAGTAAAAGGGTGTTCAAGCGAGAGTATAGGGGAGAAAACCACTGTAGTTTATCCTTAACTATGTTTGGTCAGTTTCTGACTCTGAGCTCATAAAGCACCACTGTGATGTAATTACCAAGAACTGCTATATAAAGCTCTGGCAGGGCTGAGCTTTTAGTCCGTTAATAGCCCAGGAAACTGATTTGTGGTGACCTGTTGGACTTGGACTACCTAGCTTGTTTCCTCCTTTTTTTCCCCCGTTTTATTTTTTCCCTTCATTCTTGCTTTCTTTGTCTCACATTTTGTTTTACTTTTGCTTATTTTTCTTTGCTCACTTTTCCCATTTTTATTTTGTTCTTTTTTCTTCATTCTTTCATTTTAATTTTCTCAAATTTTATTTTCTCATTTTTTCTTTTTCATTATTTTTTCTCATTTTTTTTCTTTAAATTTTTTAGTTAATATTTTTTAGTTAGTATTGTTAGTACACTTAGTATACTTAGTCAGTGTAGTTAGCATACTTACTGTTTGTTAGCACAGATGGTGAGTTTAGTTAGTATCAGTGAGTGCAGTATGGACACAAACCGCATATTTAAAATTAAAAAGTTGACGGGGAAGGTAAAGCCTTTACATCCTCCAGGGCTCCAGAGCCGTTGTCCATCCCCAACTGCTGAGGCCAGGACCAACACCCCAGCACCCATCCAGGGCTCCAAAATCGCCACTCCTGAGCCCAACTCAGAATCCACAACCATCACTTTTGAGCCCAGCCCAGAATCCAAGTCTGCCTGTCCCAAGCCCTGCCTCTGCTCCAGGAGCCCCACTCCTGAGCCCAAAATGTGCTCAAGGACCACCACTGCCAACCAAGCCTGGACTGTGCTCCAGGACCACCACTTTCGAGCGAAGCCCAGAATCCAGGCCCGCCACATCAGAGCCCGACCCAGGCTCCAGGACCGCCACTTCTTTGCCCAGCTTGGAATCAAACTGCCACTCCCAAGACCAGCAAATGCTCTAGGACCACCACTCCCGAGCCCATCCATGCTCCAGGACCGCCATGCCAAACCCAGACCAGAATCCAGGACTGCCACTCCCGAGCCCAGCCATGCTCCAGACCACCTCTCCCGAGCCCAGCCCTGGCTCCAGGACCACCACTCCAGAGCCCAGCCATGCTTCAGGATAGCCATCCCCCAGCCCAGCCCAAAATCCAAGACCTCCACTTCTGAGCCTGGCCCAGAATCCAGGACCCCCCCCCACTCCAGAGACCAGCCTAGCACTAGGACTGCCACTCCCCAGCCCAGCCCTTTCTCCAGGACCGCCACTCCTGAGCCCAGCTTAGAATCAAGCTGTACTCCTAAACCGAACAATTGCTCCAGGACTGCTACTCCCGAGCTCAACCCATTCTCCAGGACCGCCATTCCTGAGCCTAGCCCAGAATCAAACCACTACTCCCGAGCCCAGCGCATGCTCCAGTACCACCACACCTGAGCCCAGACTGGGCCTCAGGACCACGACTCCCAAGCCCAGCAGGGGCTCCAGGACAGGGACTCCCCAGCCCAGCCTTTACACCATGACCACCACTCCTGAACCCAGCCTGTGATACAGGACCACCACTCCTGAGCCCAGTCCATGCTCTAGGACCTCCACTATTGAGCCCAATCCAAAATCAAAACGCCACTCCTGAGACCAACTCCAGAACCCAGAACTGCCACTTTTGAGCCCAGCCCGGAATCCAGGACTGCCAGTCCCAAGCCCTGCCTCTGCTCCAGGATCCCCACTCCTGAGCCCAGCATGTGCTCAAGGCCCACCACTGCCAAGCCCGGACTGTGCTCCAGACCCGCCACCTCTGAGCAAAGCCCAGAATCCAGGCCCACCACATCAGAGCCCGACCCAGGCTCCAGGACCGCCACTCCTTTGCCCAGCTTAGAATCAAACTGCAACTCCCGAGCCCAGCCATGCTCCAGGACCACCACTCCAGAGCCCAGCCATGCTCCAGGACAGCCATTCCCCAGCCCAGCCCAAAATCCAAGACCTCCACTTCTGAGCCTGGCCCAGAATCCAGGAACCCCCACTCGAGAGACCAGCCAAGCACTAGGACCGCCACTCCCAGCCCAGCCCAGAATCCAGGACCGGCACTACCACGCCCAGTGCAGAATCCAGGACCGCCACATCCGAGCTCAGCCCTGGCTCCAGGACCACCACTCCTGAGCCTAGCCCAGAATCCAGAACTGCCAGTCCTGAGTCCAGTCCGGGTTCCAGGACGGCTACTCATGAGCCCAGTGCATGCTCCAGGACCGCCAATCCCAAGTCCTTAATATGTCTTTTTTAAATTATGGAATGACATAAAATTTTGGTCATTATCTAGTTATTTCTTAATTTTATAAAGTTCTTAATAGTACATGCCTTGAAAGACTAAATGTTATTATTGAAATTCATGTTTTTCATCAACTAACATGTACTTATTATTATGACTAATATCCAAAGTAATTTCCATATTGTAAAATAAATTCTCTGCGATTTTCTTTTATAACTTCTTTAAGTAGTATTTGGATCTGTGAAACTATATCTTCCTGCACAGCAGTTAGTACACTGTTTATCAATGATTTCCTAAACTATAATTAAAATGATTACTGCTCAGGATTTTATTTTGCTTTGTTTTTGAAATTAACAGCAATATAAATCATGAGTTAAAACAGATGCTATAGTATGCTTCCAAGTCTCAAAAGTTTCAAGGCCCATCATTTCAAAGAAATTAATGACTAGTTATGAATCTTTAACATTTGATTCAAAATTAAAAATAACTTTGAAATGTTTCTATTTCAGTTGCTATATCAATGTGAAATTTTCTTTAAAACCACACCTTGTACTGTTTCATCAGGGGAAGGTTTGTATTCATCAGGAAAAATACGTTTGATATTTTTATTGTTTTAAAACAATATCATCAATGAGGGTATCAAGGAATAATGGGATGAACACATGCCAGTAAAAAGGAACGTGCTTGTTTTACTCTTTATTCCTTCACTTGATGATTGTGTTACTTTGAACACATCACTCAAATTTAATAAAACTACATTACTTTTCTTTAAAAATGCAGAATATACATAAAAATAAATTTCTGTACAGGTTCTTAACTGATAGATGTTTGCAAATCATAAATCATTATATGTATATAAAGTATTATTGTTTTCGCTAATCTATCCACTTTACCTCATTAAGTCATCATTGAGAAAACTTATTGGATTACTTGAAAGCTAGAAGAGTAGTGATAGCACATTATTTTATTTGATCATGATCACATGCTGAATTTCTGAAATTTAGACTTATTTTCTTTAATTTTTTGTATTTGAATAAACCAATAATTATATAGTTTGTTTACTTTAAAATTATTTTGAAAAGTAGACAAAATTTTATGTACAGGTTAGAAAATTTTAGGGATGCATACCTTTGTTTAATTTTTCAACCATAGATACTTTCCAAGTGGTAAATAAGTACCCTGAACTTTTAAAAATGGCTCCAGAGATGGCATCCAAAGTAGACAAGTGAAATAAAATGCTGCAGGGAGCTGTAGTACTCTTCCCTAGAATAGGGTTCTGTTTGTGTTCAGAGATAGGCAAGGCTCATTTTTCTGGGATATTTATTGTCTAAATATTAAAGATGGATAGCAATTTATCAAATATTTGGTGACATTTACTTCATCATCAAGGTCAGTTTTCAGTAGTAATTTAATTCTTTCAGGTGAACATTGTGTCATATATTTAGAGCTCAATAAATGGTGTTGAAGAAATAAGAAAAGAAGATAATAAATTTAGGATAACCTGGTAAGAGACTCTGAAGATTCAGTATAAAACAAAGAGAATAAGTTTTCATGGATGGAAAGAAAACAGACGTTTTAGAATGGATTCTGAAGACTGAAATTCTGCAGAATCTAAGTACAATGATAAAGTAGCTATCAAATTTGGTAATTTGGAGACTATTGGTAACCTTTAAGAAGACAATTTGATCAGAGATGAGTATTAAAGTAACAGACAATAGATTGCAAAGAACAGAAAAAGAATAAAAGAAAGAGCAATCACAGGTGATTTTATTTTTGAAAAATTATAGGAGAAAAGAGATTAAAATGTAGATTCATTGTGGAGGAAATAAAGCAAATGTAATGAGACTTTGGGGGCATAGGGCTAGTGGAGAAAGGTACTTAGAAATGCACTTAAAAATACTGTCTATTCTTAAATGGAACCTACCTATACTTGATATTAATGCCCAATGAATAGTATTCTATGGCTACAGTAATCTCTTTCACTTAAACCTTTTGTCATATGTTTTAACATTTCCACCAATCCCTAAAAGGCTAATTATATCGTCCTTTTCTTCCCCATCTTGCCTCTGGCTCACACATTGTTATACTGCTTCTCTCTTTGCTGAGCCTCTCTTATCATAAGAACCTCTTTTAATATTGTGAAATATTATTTAATATATAATCATTGCATGACAGAAAATGCTTTACAAATGAACTAAATCGTGGTCAGCAAATATGCATGCTACTACTCCCATATGTGGAGTACATGGCAGGCCTTTTTGTGTGTTAATCACTAAAGCAGCTTAAAGAATTTTACTGAGCTGATCCCAATCAACCAAGCATACAAAGATGAAACTTTTGGCATTCTTGAGATAGTAGTCCTGGTTAACTTAATATATTTAACCTTTCACTCTACAAAGAAAAACTATTTTTATTTTATTTTTTCCATTTGTTCTGATCTCTTTATATGGCATTTACTTATATTTTTAATATCAGCTCTGTTTTCTTTTCTTAAATTTTTATTAAATATATTGAGGCAAATTTGGGTATTAAAATTACATAGGTTTCAAGTGTACATTTCTATAATGCATCATCTATATATTGCATTATCTAAATTTAATTCAAAGGAGAGTTCCTTTGAATTCTAGTTATGTTGAAGATTTATCCTTGTAGTCACAGAGAGATACATGAATGTATTAAATTTTTACATTTCCAAACAGTTTATTAATTGCTCTGCGCTAGATGATATTCTGAGGGAACCAGAGGTGTGTATAAAAGCACTTTTTGCCTTTAATGATTTTTTTTTGGTTAGCTTTTATTTTTATGATAATGAAAGGGTTTTTCCCAACATTTATTTACAAGGACAGAAACAATCACAAAACCTTATTTGCTAAATAGGCTTCAAGTAAAACTAATTTTATTTGTTTATTTTTTTAACTGAATAACCTGATTTTTATTTTACTTTATTTTTCAGTTCCCGGTATAAACTAGTTATTCAACATTTATATACCTAAAGAAGTGACCACCGTAATTCAGCAACCATTTGACACAGTACTATGCTATCACAATATTATTGACTATATTTTCTATGCTGTACATTACATCCCCATGATTTCTTTGTTGTACATCTGGAAATTTGGCCCACTTATTGCCTGTCACCCCTTTAAAGTTTTTTCAATTACAGTTGATATTCAATATTATTATATATTAATTTCAGGTGTACAGCATAGTGGTTAGACATTTATACAATTTAAGAAATGATCCCCCTGACTAGTCTAGTACCCAACTGGCAACATACGTAGTTATTACGATACTATTGACTGTATTCCTTACACTTTACATTTCCATGACTATTATGTAACAACCAATTTGTACTTCTTAATTTCTTCCTCTTTTTCACTCACTCTCTCAAATCCCCTCCCATCTAGCAACTATCAGTATGTTCTCTGTATCTATGAGTTTCTTTCTATTCTGTTTATTTGTCTTTGTTCTGTATCCACATATAAGGGAAATCATATTGCATCTGCCTTTCTCTGTCTGACATACTACACTCAGCAGAATTCCCTCCAGGCCCATCCATGCCACACATGATGAGGACTCATTCCCTTCCATGGCTGAGTAATATTCCATTGTATATATGTACCACCTATTCTTTTTTTTTTT